TTTCAATTAGAATTAACTATATATTATAATGTATCACTATACATATAATCCCTTGATTAATTTGAACATTTTAAATTTTCCAAAAACTTGATCCTCGTTTTACCTGCTATGAGCTAGCAAGGGGACCTAATGGACCTACAGATCAGAAGCTGGAACGATACGAGATTAATCGGTCAAACTCATTGATCGAGTTATCAACATTCGTTAACTACATGTCACTCCACTAAAGACTCACAGCTGTATTCTTCTCACTGCAGAATATTTCATGTCCACAGATATACAACCATTAATGACAAGTTAATCATTCACGAGTGTTCGTAACTAAAGCTGGGTCAAATTACCATTTTACCCCTGAGTTACATCTTACTCCTTAAATATCACTGCTCCTCTAATGAACAACCCAGTTATGGTCGAACCAATAATCGGAAGTCCCTCTCGGGCCAATGAGAAGGTGGGGCCCATTGTTCAAGTCCCGGAGTCAGCATTTAAGAGAACACTCATTTACTCTCATAAGGTCGGGGAGGAGTGAATTCCATCTTGTGAAGTTATGTTCTCAGCTCTCCACTCGGTCTCGTCCCCAAAATAGTAGGAATATTGAGTCGGCGTTTCGGGCCACTCTCACCCATACATATCAAAAGACGAGCCCTCACAGGCAAGAGTCCATAACTCACTCAGGATTGAGAATGAGTTGTCTAGTCATCCTAAAAAATAACAATCTGTTAGTTAACGGTATTACATCTAAATATTGGGTATTTTGCGGTCCGGTCTTATACAAACTCATTGTATAGGATACCCTCACTCGCATGTCTCCACACGAACGACTTGGATCGAGTGGTCTGTAACATTTACAAAGTTGGTCGTATCCATAGTGTTGCCAGGATAAGGTACCCAGCCTTATCCATATAATATAGACCCTTTAGGTTATTCACGGGACATTATCCACTCGTATATCAGGGGTATATCAAATATATACCTCGTATATCAGGGGCATATGAAATACATACCTACTATATATACTGTCTCGGTTACATGATAATAACCTTGGATGTTTAGTTTATTGGGTTTTGGACAATGCAATGCTATGAATTTAACAACAAATTTATTGAATATACATTTGTTTTTACATAAATACAAACTACGAGTTTAGGGCAACACATCCAAGACATACAACGTCATCTTAGGAGGGCCAGTTATACACAACTTCCGGGTTGTCCCCTCCACCTATCACCAGGTGATGAAGTTCCCTATCCTTCACGGGATGGGATCAATTGTCAGACAACAACGAGTCTCCCGAGAATGTTATGCAATAGCTATGAAAGATCCCAGACAGGTGTGTGTGATCTGTACCGAGCCTCAGTTAGCCGTTCCCAAGACCTCAGTCGAAACTGGTAACACTGATTGGCCCGCTGACCCGCCGGTCGACCCTCATGACATGCGAACGGTAGAGTCGGTTCCAGTCTGGGTCCAGTTCTTCAGATCGTAGAGGAGGCACAAAAAAACACTTGCCTAGGAGAGAGAGAGAAACATCTCATCGGTAGAAGAACTACAATAG